ACTTTCTTTCTCTCTCCTCTTTCCCTCTCCTTCTCCCTGATTCTCTCTCTTGTCCTACAGTGTCCTCCCTCTTTCTCTCACTCGTCCTCTCTCTCCTTTCCTCTCCTCCCCTCTCTTTTTCCGTCTGATCCATACTCTTGTCCTACAGTGTCCTCGGGCGTCTCCGCTGAATGCAAACGAGCGTCTGTCTGTCCATCCTCTCGCCTGATTGGACATTGGCTTTGGGACAAGACTTTTTTTTTTTTTCCCAAAACACAAACAAAATCACCAAAATCTCTGAAGATAAAATGAAATAAGCCGAAGAAGGACAGTGATTCGTAGCGATTTACAGAGACGTCGTGAACGGGACAGTTCAAAGCACACGAGAGTTTATGTGATTCTCTTCTTCTACCAGTAGACGGCACATGTGAGGGTAGAACTGTTCCCCGTCATTCCCCGATTAGATTTTTTTGCTGAATTTGCGTTAGTCATGCCAGTCGTTGGCTTGACTTTATTTTCATTATTTTATTCACTCTCCCTATTCACCATCTCCTCCCGTTCAACTTTCAGCGTTCAACTTTATTATTGTCCCAGAAGGAAACAGTTGTGCAGCAGTGTCGTAGAGTAAACATACAATACAATTCAATAATTCACTAAACTACAGCGCCACCCAGAAGCAAGGAGGTTAAAGGGACAGTTTGGAATTTTGGACATAAGGGTCAGTTCGTATGAAATCAGCCGCTCTCCCCTTTGAGCCTCCCCTTGGCTGAAAAATATTCAAAACATTTCTAAAATTACCAGATTAAAAAATCTCAAATTTTAGCTCAATCCCTTGAGTCGTTCCTGAGTTATGGGGCCATGATCACTTTTTCTGAAGCCTTAATTTATAAGCATGTTTGAGAGACCATAACTTCATAAAAAATAGAGCTAGAAAGCTGAAAATTTGTATTATTGTAGATTCATAGATTCTGAATCTGTTGTCAAATATTGAGTATCTTTATTAAGGGGGGTGCTGTGGGCCCCCAAAAATCTCACATTTGGAAAAAAAAAAATTCAGTTTTTGAGGACCAAGATCTATTTACTCCAAGCAGTTATTTACAAACTAACTGCTGAACCTGAATATTTGAGAGAATGACCATTTCTGACAACAATCTCACACTTTTCTGAGCTTTCATGTGGATGGTGTAGAGTCCCAAATATGGTCATAGACCAAATGTGATCTTTTTGGCCCCTTCTGTGGACCCTTGGTTCCCCATGTGGACAGTTAGATGTTGATCAAAATTTTTTACCAGAGAAACTTTGGCATATTCTGATTAGTCTAAAATAATAAAAACATCTACTATTAACTTCCTTCATTTCAAAACAAATTTTTGAAAATGAGCTCTCATGGGTCATTTTTGGTGGAGCTTAGGGACTTTTCCGCCTGCAGAAAGGTTCAATTCCCTTTAATAGACTTAAACACTGTTTGCTTGTTCTAAGGGAAGATAATTGGAGATTATTTGTGGCTACAGCTTCCTAGCTCTAGTTTTTTATGAAGTTATGATCTCTCAAACATGTTTATAAATTAAGGCTTCAGAAAAAGTGAGCATGGCCAAATCTGCCAAATCTGAGATGGCTCATAGGGGAGATTTCTTGAAAACGGCTGATTTCATACGGACTGACCCATAAGACCCAATTTCCTAGTGAGCCAGAGTGTTGGAGACGTGTGGAGACACTTTAAAATATTCCATCCAGTCCTTGTATTTGCAGAGGTCAGTGGTGCTAGGCTAGTGCATGTCAATGGCCATAGTTCTCCTGCCACTAAAAACAGTCTTACCCACTCCACAAAACACCTGAAACAAATCTATTATTACACCAGACTGTCCATGTGAATGTCTGTGTTGATAGAATAATGTTTGAAATAAAATTAACATTGCATTATATGAACTGCTGAGTTTTCTATCAGGAAGTACAACTCACCTGCTGCTGCTGCTCAGACATAAATCCTTCAAATACAAGTCTAGCACCAGTGACCTCTGCAAATACAAGGACTGGATGGAATATTTCAAAAAGTGTCTCCACACGTCTCCAACACTCTGGATCACTAGGAAATGAGGTCCTATGTCCAAAATTCCAAACTGTCCCTTTAAACTCCTCAAAGAGCAGGTGGTCAGGTCAGGGCTCTTCAATATTTGCTGGACAAATCACACTTCTGCTGTAGATGTCCTTCAGCTGTAAGCCTACAATTTTACCTGTCACTTTGACCAACCAACGCAGACGATTTCTAGTAGACACAGAGAGGGCACCGAACCAACAGACAATACAAAATGCAAGAATAAATTCAATAAAACTCTGATAAAAAGGGTCATAAGAACATTACTGACGTTTAAAGAATAAATTTTCCTTAAATAGACCAGTCTTTGCTGCACTTTCTTGCAGATGGCATCAGTGTTTGATTCAAAGTGTCAATAATTGTCCTTAGATATTTCTCCTACCTCCTCCCCTCCTTCTCCCTTCTGTCATTCTGTCTCTAAACCCTCTCTACCTCTCTCCTCCTCTCTCTCAGTCCTTTTCTCACCAAAAACAGTTCTGTCTGTCACTCGAAACCTTAGTTCGCGATCGTTTAAAGGGCCCATCTCATGTAATCAACTTTTCAGAGCTTTCTACCTTCTAAGAGTGATGTGTGGGCCTTGTATATGTCGCTGAAATGTTTTTTAGATTGATTTGGTGTTTTTTTTTAACAAATTGCAGCGTATTTCTGCCACTCTCCCACGTGACAACGAACGAAAGCTGCTACAACGAGGACGCGGCAGATACACCTATGACGCGTTTGACATAGCAGAAAGCACTTTGCTTAAGGCTGAACGCGCTATATCGCCATGATGAATAAAAGTTTATTCCTACCACTATCAGGGTGCACGCCTGTCTCCCCCTCCCTCCCTGAGATGGGCAGAGGAAGGATGGCTCACTCAGAGTCTACGTTACGTTTGGAGGGCGGAGCCTGTGCTTTCTCAGGACGGGCGGGGGGATGAGCAATAGTCGGCCTTTAGTTCCTGGTCTGTGACTGTCTCCAAGAAATCAGTAAGATTTCATAACTATTGTGTAGTGGATGTTCCAAAACCCAAATTGTGCTTATTTATGTGCAGAAGATACAATGTGAAAAGAGTTATTATACATGAGATGGGCCCTTTAAGTTAAAAAGAGTTTGCAAAGAAAGCTTCCTAATGTTTATTTTACAATAAACACCAGTAAAATACCAGACTGCTCACATCAGTTAACTCAGTGTTTCTCTGAATGTTTCTCTGTTTTTTGGGAGTTAAATGAGCTGTGAACACAAACATTGGGCTCAGATTTAACTTTAAATGAACAGATTTAACGAGTAATAATAGATAGCATAAGAACTTGTAGTTTTTCTGTGTATGTGTTAGCCGTAGTAAGTAGGGATGTCACAATAACCAAAATATCGTGATATTGTATCGTCCAAAGTGTTACAATAATATCATGGACCATCACACTGTATCGAATTGCAAGTCTTTTTGGCTTAAATGAATATTTATGCGTTTTTTATGTCTTTCTTTGTGATTTTAATGGCTTTCTTATTCTGTAAAGCACTTTGAATTACCTTTATGAATTGTTCTGTATAAATAAACTTGCCTTGCCATGGTGCAGCAATAGAGAGAACTACATAGACCATGATCCTTTGGTGCAAACTACGTAAAGAAATGAAGCAATTCTTCATATTATAACAGTACCAAAGGCTTTTCAAAGCTTTTCCAGGGTTTTTAAATAGAAAAAAGTAGCATATTCACAATTTTGTAAGCCTCCACAAAATATCTGAATAAATATCAAACTGTGAGATGCATATTGTGAAAATATCGTATCAGGGGATTTTGATATCATTATATCCCTAGTACTAAGAGACAGGTGGCAAATTTGTCTTGGATTCACACTGGGGAATGACACCTCCTTTCCTCACATGGTCTAAACTGGCACACTATTAGACAGCAGTAACATAGGCAGCCCTTAGTGGTGCTATGTGAGAATACAAATGTCGTTAAAGGTCCTGTATTGGGCAGAATTGACTCTTGTGAGCTTTTAGTCATGTTAAAATGTTGTTACCTTCTCAAAAACACACCTGGACTTGTGTTTTTTTTCATTCACACATGCTCAGTCACTCAAAATACTCTGTTCCACCTTGTGATGTCATGAAACGGTAGTTTTCAAGTTAACAGCTCTATCTATCTATCTATCTATCTATCTATCTATCTATCTATCAGTATCTATCTATCTATCTATCTATCTATCTATCTATCTATCTATCTATCTATCTATTTGTGTCTATCTATCTATCATCTATCTATCCTTCATCCCTCTTTCCTCTAGTCTTGCTCTCCTTCTCTATGCATCTCCCTCTATTCTTCAACCCTCTTTATTCTAATCTCATTTCATTTCATATCTCTCTTTCCCCATCTGTCCCCTCACTTCCTCTCTTTCTCTCACTCTAGCCTTCATCCCTCTCTCCTCTAATCTTCTCTCTATCTATCTATCTATCTATCTATCTATCGATCGATCGATCTACCAAAATTGACTCTTGTGAGTTTTAAGTCATGTTATAATGTTGTTTCCTCCTCAAAATCAGACCTGGAGTTGTGTTTTGTTTCATTCGCACATGTTTGCATAATCCTTTATTAGTCTGTCGACATCTGCAAAGTTCAAAATGCTCTACTAATCAGCTACCTTTACCTTTAGTTCAGTAGTTCCAGGGCTGAAATCATACTAATGATTCTAGTGAAGGTGAGTTTTTGACCACACTATCACAAGGTGGAACAGAGTGTTTTCAGTCTGAGAGAAGAACTCTGACTAAATGTGCAGGATCTGTGTGTTAAACATGTGTGAAACTCCAGGTAGGTTTGTGATGAGGATTAACCAAAACATTTAGAGGAACCCAGCCCTCATGGTGAAAGACGTTAAAGCAGATATAATAAGCGCATTTCATATCTGGAGTGGTCATGTGACTTGTTTTCCTGCTCTGTGATTGGCAGGGAGCTGTCAGCTGATCTCAGAGCCGCAGTGTCACATGTTACCGTACAACCAAACGTGGCTGACGTCTCCGCTCAACGTCGTCAAGAGCTCTGAGGTGGACATGCTGCTCAGGTTAGTCATGTTTTTAATCTGTCATTGTTTATTGTTTATTCAGGGTAGCCACGAGGTCTTAAAAGTCTTTTAAAGGTCTTAAATTTCATGTTCCTAAATTAAGGCCTTAACAAGTCTTAAATTATGTTGTTCAAGTCTTATTTTATTCACAAAGGTCTTGAATTTCATTAGCCTATTTTTTTTTGTTTACTCAACCAGGCTGCAGTGCAATGTTAAATGGAAGGAGGGGAAAAAAAACAACGTGAATGAACGTCTAATTTGGAGTATACGCAAACAGTGCATACTCAATCCAATTCCACACACATTTGCATCACCGTATGCACGCAGATTTCCTCCTGAAAACACTCGTCTAAATGTGGAATAAAAAGTGAAGACACTACGCCACTTTTGTGTCTTCTGTTCGGACCGTCATGATATAGACATAGCCTTAGATTCTAGATATAGTACCGGTAGTTAGTTGGTCATTATTAGAATTAGACCTGGTGTTTTTTGCCCACATAATGGGTGTGACTTTGGTCTTAATTTTCATTTAAGTGGTCTTAAAAAGGTCTTTAAAAAGTCTGAAATTTGGGACAGTGAAACCTGGGGATACCCTGTTATTGAATATGCTTTTTGATGATTTGATGATTTTATTGCTTATTGCCTTGATTGTTCCACAGTATGGCATTAAACGTGTGGACTTGCCACTCCACAGATCCTAGCTGTAACTTGGTCTGGTGGCATTGCTTGGTTGTCTTTGGAGATAGACTTTAATGTCATAATTTGGAACATTCTTATTAAAAGAAACTTACTGGCTGATTACTGTTTCATTGTTTTATTGTCTAACTTTCTGTTGGTTTAATGTACCTTTTTCTGAATTCCTGCGAGGCAACAGCTCTTGTGATTTTGGACTAAACAAAAATTTATTGTATTGATTTTAAAGTAGACTTATTCTGTAAAATTTAGCTTTTAACTAGGGGTGGGCGATATCTCGATATTTTAAATATATTAAGATCTTTTTAAACTTGATATGGATTCTGACATATTGTATATATCGATATAATGTTTATATTCAATTCTGATTTCACCGCTTCGCTTGTTTGCCATCTCTGTGCTCACCCCTGTGCGCCCCCGCCTCCCTGATTTTGCTGCTTGTGTCTCTTTCACTCCTCACTACTGCCGTACATGCCGAAAGTTGGTACCAGTGAAAAGCTTCTAGCACCATGAACTTTTTCCACTATTTACAGACAAATCCATCAGAAGCACATCGTCTGTCACAGAGAGAACACTCATATTCCACCAAGTCGGGTCCTTTAGTCCAAAAGAAGTTGAACTGCATCAGCGGCACAAGGAGCGAGCTGTTTATACAAATGAGCCATGCAGTTTTAAGTTTCCTTTCCATAAAACATAAACACATGTGTCTAAAACTGCATTAAACACATTAGAATCTCAAACGGGCTGATGTGGCTCTAGAGTCGTTACGCTTTATATGTTGTAAAGTTGAGTAAAGTAAAGTTTATTTATGTAGAAGATTTTAATGAATAATCTGCTGCAGTGTAACTTGTACAATAATGTTTGGAAATGTTGGGTTTGATTTGCAGTGGATTGTGGGAGACCTCACAGCTCCTTACTGCTGGTGAGGAACATGGGTCTGTTAAAATAAATTATTAAATTATTATTTATGTAATTATGGATTTTTTGTAATCTTAAATGTGGCAGAAGCACTTTGTTCTTATATGAACTGCCTACCTCTTGCACTTGAATAAAAAAAGAGATTGTGGGATTTGTCATATTTGTTTTTGCGGTAGTTTTGGGGGGGTTATTTTTCCTTTACAGATATCGAGATATATATCATATATCGAGATCTGTTGAATTTGGAGTGATTCATGTGTCTTTAACCGCTTACTTTCAAGACATCATTTTTCCGATCTGTCCCCGTACACTCCCACTGTTCTGTATTTATGTTTTATGTTCCAGTTTTATTTTCTAAATTGGTGATACACGTAAGATTTGGCAGTGTCACATAGTCATTTTGGTCCATTTTGGTCCATGTGAAGCTATCCATAGGAGGAGCCGACAGCATGCAGCGCTTTGTTGTCATGACGTTTACGGCTACGTCAGCTCCCATTGGACGCCACAATTTTCTAACACAGAAGACATCTATATAAGTCGTTATAGATCAATATTGTGATTTAAAATGTCCAAACTGTAACATAATCCACAGGTTTCATAGATTACAACTATATATACAGCAGACATAAGCACAAGGTCTTCTTTAATTAAATGTTGAATGTGGTATTTTCTGCCTCTTGTTGTTGAAGGTTCTTCAGTTACCTGAGCCGTCTCTCGTGCTACAGACACATCATGCTGTTTGGCTGCTCTCTGGCCCTGCCCCAGTGTTTCCAGGGAGACCACAGGTGAGAACATCCACCAATCAGATGCTGTCTTCGGGCAGATTACAAAGCTATGGGAAAGTTTAGTTACATTCCTGCATCGATCATCTTCTTTATACAACTTTAGGCGTACTTGCTTCTTCTAGTCTAGTGTAGTGTGAAGCTGTAGGGTTGTCAGAGGTATCGAAAATCAGATACTAATGGATAATAAAACTAGTATCGAAACTAGATACTCAAATGGGCAGGTATTGTTTCTAAAAAAGTCCCATTCGTATCGTATCAGAAGAAGTACAAGAGCAGGATATAATGTTGAAAATCACATTCTGTTGTCTAAATAAATAGCTTTTTTCTTGATTTCATTGTAGAGAGCCATCCAACCCATTATTTATGCAACATAAAGTGTTGAAAATACATGACTTTGTTGACTTAAGTCTCTTCAAAGTCATGTATAAAGCAAAGGGCAATGTATTACCTGTAAATATTCAAAGACTGTTTGAGATGAGAATGAGCCACTACAATTTAAAGGGAACCTACATCTTTAACAACCCAGATTCAGAACCAAAGTTATGGAATGAAACATTGCTGTGAAAGGAGTTCACTTATGGAAGAGTCTTGACAAAGATATAAAAGAATCAAGTACAATGATGACATTTAAAAAATACATAAAATCAAATGCAATGTGTATGTATGAAAAAGAAAACTAAGTTGTTGTGTATAAAAGTGAAGATTTCAGTTTACTATTGATTAATAATTGTGCCTGAACTGAAATGTACTGATTTGAAATGTTTAGTAACCATCGGTGTTGATGTTTTGTCTTGAAAAAGGAAAAGGGGGCAGATAACATAAGATTGCTCTTCTTTCTGCTCCTTTTCATTCATTTCTTGTGTGTTTGATGTTGATGTCTTTTAATATTTTATGAATGAAATAAATAAACACATAATAATAATTATATAATAATTATTATTTTGATTAGTGCTGTCAAGTGATAAAAAAAAAGAGAGATTAATTAATTATGATCTGTAATTAATTAATCTAATAATCTCTTTTTTAATCACACCTAAAAATTGCTGAGAAAAGCTTCAATTTGAGGTATTTTCATTTGAATTCATTATTACATAATTTTTATACTATCATTAACGTTTTTATATAATCATTATTACTTTTACTAGTCTGCATAAATAAACTCAACTTTACAACATATAAACATAACGACTCTAGAGCCACATCAGCCTGTTTGACATTATCATGTGTTTAATGCAGATTTGTGCAAATCTCACAGAAACAAAACTTAAAACAGCATGGCTAATTTGCATAAACTAAGATGAAAAAAAAAAAAAAAAACACTCTTGTGCGCTGATGCGGTTCAGCTTCTACTAAAGGACATGACTCAGTGGAATATAGATGTTCTCTCTGTGACAGAGGGATGTTAATGGTGAAGGTGAGTCTGTTCTGTGTCTATGTCGCGATTATTTTCAGAGATCAGACATGTGCAGGTTTATCACAGATGCGGCGAGAACGGGAATGAAAATTTGGCTACAATTCTTTGCAGGAGCGAGCAGAGCAGGACTGCACAGTGCGGGACTGTGTCCTAACAACACATAAAAACAGATTTTATAATAAGGCAACTCACATACAGAAACAGTAAAGTTAAGAGATTAAAAATAAGATCAACGTGATTAAAAAACACGCTAAATATGACTGTAATTAATTAATCACAAGTAATGCGATAATTTGACACCCCTAATTTTGATACTAAGGAATATACTCAATACGCATCAATAACGATTCCGAACCCTTTTTACCAAACTCCTTTTTGAACAATACAAAGTGATTTTTATCCTTTACATGACCATGTGGCCTTAAAAGTTCCATAGTGTTCCATGAGCGTATACTAGTCTCTTATACTTAAGATTCTAAAACTATTCAGGAGAGGTTCATTTCAGTCCTGTCAATGAGACTTTTTTATTATCTGCTCACATTAGTATCTAGTTTTGATAATAGTTTCAGTATCAATTAGTATTTGGCTTTGGATACTTCTGACAACCCCAGTGCCAAGATAATTCCTACCCACCCTTTTGTGTACTTTGTGTAATACTTATCAGCTTTTCTTCATATTTTCTCGTCAGGCGTCTGGTTCTTCCGTGTGAGTCGTTCTGTGAGGCGGCTCGTCTCGGCTGTGAGCCTGTTCTTCACATGTTCAACGCCTCCTGGCCTGACTTCCTCCGCTGCTCCCAGTTCAGCTCCTCCTCCTCTTCTTCCACCGCTCCCACTTCCTCCTCTCCTCCCTTCTCCTTCTCTACCTCTCCTTCTCCCTCTCCTCCTCCTTCCTCTTCATCTATGCTTCCTTCATCATCATCACCATCTGCCAGCCCCATCTGCTACTCACCCCGAAATGTTAAAGGTAAAGCGTGTAAGTATTCACTTTTTCTGCTGATTCTTAAAGTGGAACTAAACACTAAATAACTTTTTTTTTTTTTTTACTCAACTTTTACTGTTCACCATAGTGGAAATGTGTCTTTGGTTCACTATCAGATGAACACAACAATCAGCCCATCACAGCTTAAGAGTCAGTAGGTTAAAAAGTCCACTACATTAAAAAGAAGCTTGCCATATGTTGTGAGGTTGCCTTATAAAAAATGTCATTTAAAAACAGCTTTAGTCCTTGCATGAGGTCAAATTATAAAATATGTTTATTTTGTAATTCCAAATTAGCTTAAACGGGCCGGTCAGAGTCAACCAAAGGCCGTTTGTGGCCCCGGAGCTCTACAATGCCCAGGTCTGGTTCAGAGGGATAATCATCTTGTGCACAGTTCACTGGTGAAGGAGCTCCATTTATTTTTTCTGCTCTTTGCCAGTGATCTTCTCTGTGGTCTATTCTATTGAGCTTGTTCTTGTTAGTCACTGTCAAATAACCAAACCAAACAGAGATGTTAAAAACAAGAAAACTCAATCAGGCTCAGAAACTCTCCAGAATTGGTGAGTTCACTCCAAAGATCAAATTTTTTTACTACTAAACTTTATATTGGGTATATTGTATTTTAATAACATCTACTGTCCCTAGTTTTTTAGCAACTTCAGTGCAACCTCTGTAAATTTGCAGCTTCCTGGTCAAAAACACTTAAATCTATGTTTGCTGCCTTCAATGGTCTCTGCAGTTTTTAGTAGTTGGTGGCATCACACAGAACACAGAAGTATTTCTGATACAAACACCTGGCTGCAGGGGCGGAGTTTGAAGTGCAGATATACTGTTTCTGGTTGGTTAATTATCTCCTCCCTCCTTTCTGATTGGCCAACAGCAGTTTGCGGCGGTAAGGACCACTTCCTGTGTTCCAGCGGGATCTGCGTCCCTCAGAAACTTGTCTGTAACGGATTCAACGACTGCGACGACTGGAGCGACGAAACCTCCTGTGGTGAGTCCTGGTACTGCAAAAATAATGAAACCGGTGAGCTGAGTGCCAAGGGATAATACTGCACAAGTATTGTGTGTGCAGCTGGAAACATGTATCCAGTGTTGGGAAGGTTACTTTTAAAATGTATTCCCCTACAGATTACAGATTACATACTTCAAAATGTAGTTTGTAACGTAATCCATTAAATTACTTAAAGTGAGTAATGTAATCTGAATACTTTGGATTACTTGATATTGTCATGTTTTTTAAAACTACATGAATGTAACAACCACATCCTGAAAATTCATGTTTGTTCTCCTCAAATTGGCTGTCTCCAGTGTCCATGAACAGACTTTTGTTTACTGTAGAGAAGCAAAGACGAAGATGTTTTATCTGCTAAAAGACAAGAAAAAGATCAGTCTCTCCTTAACCAGATTAAAATATTATTGACAGAGAAATGATTTCTAAATGAGATCACTGCTGCTTTAAATTACGTCAACCATACTGTTAGTGTCATATTGTTTAGATCTGGTTTAGACCTGGTTTAGACCTGGTTTAGTCCTTTTTTTCGTCCTGGTTTAGTCCTGATTTAATCCTGGTTTAGAGCTGGTTTAGTGTTGGTTTAGACCTGGATTAGTCCTGGTTTAGTCTTGGTTTAGCCCTTTTTTTCGTCCTGGTTTAGTGCTGGTTTAGTCCTGATTGAACCCTGGTTTAGAGCTGGTTTAGTCCTGGTTTAGACATGGATTAGTCCTGGTTTAGACCTGGTTTAGTCCTGGTGTAGTCCTGGTTTAGTCTTGGTTTAGTTACTGGTAACTGTAACTGAATACAGTTACTCATAATTTGTACTCTGATTACATAATGCTGGTACATGTAATCCGTTACTCCCCCAACACTGCATGTATCATTGTGATTGGCAGGTCTCATTTTATCCAATCAGCTCCAAGTATTTTACTGAAAGTTCCCCCTATTCCCAAATGATTTAACTGGGAGCCACCATAATGTGTCTGATTTAGGCAATACGACAGATAGAATATATATATACACATGAATAATTCTCTTCATGTAACAATTTTTGATTCTGCTGGTCTGCTGCATGTGCGTAACAACAAAAAACGGGATAAAGAAAATAAACAGTTATGTTATTAGAACATTACATTTTACATACAATTAAGACTTAAAATCTGTGCAGTTTAACCAGACATATGTCCTGGTCTAGTCCTAATTTAGTCCATGTTTACTACTGCGCCAGTCTTGCTTTAGTCCTGATCTAGTCCTGGTTTAGTTCTGTCTCAAAAAATACAGAGTTTACGTACAATAAAGATTTAATCAGTGCAGTTTAACACAAAGAAATTGTCACTTTGCTTCTTCTAAAGTCCTAGTTCATTCCTGGTTTAGTTCTGGTTTAGTCTTGGTTTAATTTTGGTTTAGTCCTAGTTCAGTCCTGGTTTAGTCCTGGTTTAGTTCCGGTTTAGTTCTGGTTTAGTTCTGGTTTAGTTCTGGTTTAGTCCTGGTTCAGTCTTGGTTCAGTCTTGGCTCAGTCCTGTTTCAAACCCCTGAAGTAGCTAAGCAGTTTTTGGTCCTTTCGCAAAATATGTCTAGCGAGATTGTTGCGCCGTTTCCGTGGCGACTGTGACACAGGGAGAGGTGATTGATGGGAGTTGGAGTTTGTAAAGAAAGGAATGCAGCCGCCCCCATAGGTTTACGATACTGAGACAATGAAGTACCAATGCTGTACTAGTGCAGTAACGGAGCAGTAACAACGCAGTAGTGATAAAGTACTGAGTACAGATGACGAAAGCAGAGGATACAGAGAAAACACTAGGATACTTGATGCTTTGCAGTGACGTCATGCTGGGGAGTTTCTACATGTATGTATACTGGCAGAATGTGCATCAAAAAAAAAGAAAGCTCAAAATATTTTACCAGACAGCATAAAAATTTGAGAGCACAAATCAGATCACGTGTTGTAGTTTCAACTAAATCAGCTCTTTCTAGTCAGATTGTGTTAAAACAAAGTTCAGATTAAAGCTGCAAAGTATAAATATATTTCCATGGGAAGTTTTTGAAAGAAACCTCCAAAGTTATGATCCCCAAATACTGAACTTTCTCATTATTTGTTTGGGATCAGCTATACAAACTTGTCATATCAATCTTATGTCTTAAAGTTTTTTCAGCTGACGACGACGATCACTTTGGGGTCACAGTCACAATCACGTCTTTAAGGTTCAATAATGGCACCATTATCTGAAGCTATTGTGAAAAGATAATTCCACTGTTGTTTATTTATACTGACATATACGATGAACTTTGTGCTAGTTTTTGTTTCATGTGCATAGGCCCAGTAATTACAGAAATATTAACCATAAACCAAGTCAACAAATCTGCAATTTGATATTATTCTATTCTGATCCTAGTTCACACTTGATTTTGTTCAGTTCTTGACCTGGTTTTATCCAAGTCCAAGTTTAGTTCAGTGTTTTGTACCAGTTAAGTTATTATTTTCTGAGGTGCAAGACTGAACTTTAAATGGCCCATTTTACACTATTTTCTGATCTATATTCTAATGTTGTTTCCTCATCATAAACAGACCTGGAGTTGTGTTTTGTCTCATTCCCACATGTTTAATTGAGTCCTTCTCTCAAACAGAAAACACTCTGTTCCACCTTGTGATGTTGTGTGTTAATCTAGGAAGTGCTCCACTGTATTTTTATCCAACTCTACTGAACTAAAGGTAAAAGGAGCTGTTAACTTGAAAACTACCGCTTCATGACATTACAAGGTGGAACAGAACATTCTGAGCTTTGGAGATGTAGACAGACTAATTATAAAGGTTTACTCAAACACAGTGTTGGGACTAACATGTTATAAAATGTTTTTTTAACCCGGATTGAAGTGGTGGGTTTTTCTTCATACAAATTCACTAAAATCACCACGACATCAACAGCGGTGAAACACCAGAGACACGCCCGTGTAAACCGTTGGGTGACCGCGGGCGAAAGGACCAGTGCAGAACTCCACGCTCCATGGGGCGAACTGCAGCTGATGCCCGATTTCACCTTGCAGACACCCTGTTCCGCGGACTCAGGGTTCTCTCAGAGGCGGTCCTAGATTCCAAGTTCTAGTCCAAGATTAGTCCTGGTTTAGTCCTGGTTCAGTTCTGGTTTAGACCTGGTTTAGTCCTGGTTTAGTCCTTGTTTAGACCTGGTTTAGACCTGGTTCAGTTCTGGTTCAGTCCTGGTTCAGTCCATATACGGCACAAAAGTTCAGCATCTTCGCAGTTATTCTGGTGAGAGTAACTTAAAAATGCTGTAATAGTCATGTAATGGTGTACATATTAAATACAGTAACATTGTAATGTAACAAATTACTTTGCAATGACAATAACAAGTCATAAATAACACATTACAGTTTTAAAGTAACTTGCCCAACAGTGCTCAAACATGTGTGAATGAAACAAAACACAACTCCAGGTCTGTTTTTGAGGAGGAAACAACATTAGAACACAATTTAAAGCTCACAAGACCCACTTTTGTATAATATAGGACCTTTAAAACCTTTCAAATTGAAAACAGTAGCATATGTATCTGTTTCTGTTTCAGAGTGTGCAGACTGGGAGTTCCGCTGCTCCACTGGACGTTGTGTTCCTCCTGTTTTAGTTTGTGACGGATTTGACGACTGTGGAGACCTCAGTGACGAGATGAGCTGTGGTGAGTCCTAGTCTAGTCCTGGTTCAGTCCTACTGTAGTCCTGGTTAAGTCCTGGCTTAATTCCAGTGAAGGGAGTCCTGGTTTAGTTCTAGTTTAGTCTTGGTTTAGTGTTGTTTTAGTACTGGTCTGTTCTTACTTTAGTTCTGGTCTGTTCCTGGTTTAGTCTTGGTTTAGTTCCAGTTTTTGTGTTTTGTCTCAGTACTCCTGCCGTCAGTCCTGGATTGTTTTTTGATGTAGTCCTGATTTAGTCCCTGTTTAGTCCTGGTGTAGTCGTGCTCTAGTGCTGCTCTAGTCCTGGTCTAGTCCTGGTCTAGTCCTGGTCTAGTCCTGATCCAGTTCTGTCTCTGGAGGAGGAATCCCCAGCTGTTTGGACAGAGCTGTCAGCTGTTCACACTGACATTTATTTAAGCTGAGTTACTGTCTGAAACGTGACACTTTCTCTGTCGGGAAAACTACAGGAAATATTCATGACTTCACTTCTTATTATTGTTTGTCTTAGTTTTGATTTGCTGGAAGTTGCATCAGAGCACAGATTGTGGATCAGTTTATTTTGGTGGTGTGGCTGGTTTTGTAAGGTGGCAAAATTAAGTACAATCAAATAAAGTGCAAATGTGATAAAGATAATATTATAAACCATATAATTTCAACTTTATAAAGAGTTTTCATCATTTTAAGAAAAACATGGGATTTTTCTTTAAAGGTGTACTATGTATATATGTGTGTTTTTGGTGGGGTAGTCGCCACCTGCTTGTCTCTAAGATGTTATGAGTTGTTCTACGGTATGACATTAAATGATCAGTTTCAATGGAGATGAGTTGGTACAGCCAGCAGACCAAGTTACAGATCAGATCTATAGCGAGGCGAGTCAGGCGTAACCTTACACAGTAAGATGGACCAATCAAAGAGCAAAGAGCGGCTTGTGCGATCCTCAATGCCGCTGTTGTGACGCTTCCACCAATCAGAGTCAAATAATCATCATGGTGTTCCACGTTTTCCATTCGCATTCATATAAATGATTTATAATTGATCATGTGTAGAAATCTATTCAGATTGACATATATTATATCTGGCATGAGCCTGGTTTATCAGGTGACCCCACTCAAGAATGTATGATTGATATTTGAGAAATAAAATCAACTGTAATTAACTAATGCACCATAGATACATTAATGCTGTGGGACATTTCAGTCAAAGTATTTGTTTGAATTTGAATTTATTTGTTTAGAGGATAAGCCCCTTGAAATGTCTCGCCATCTCGTTTTCGAGGGGGTCCTCATAAATACAATGACAAAAGACATACAGTAGGGCAGACAGTAGGACACATAAATTCAAATAAGCATTAAAACAACAAAATCAACACACACACTCACTCACTCACACTTGACTGTTTGACACATAATAAAACTAATTTCAGAGAAAATGAAAAGAAAGAAACTAAAACAGAGTTCTAAGATAATCAAAATACAAAATACAACAAAATGATCAAAAACAATGACATGGGTTCTGTAAATATTGAACCAGAGCAGTTTTAAATGAAGGGACAGAAGTTAATGCACGAATCAATGAGGGAAGATTGTTCCATTCAAAAGGAGCTTCATATTTAAATGAGTGTTTTCTTATTTGTTTTTTGACTCTTGGGACAACAAAAAATATCTGATCAGCGTGACGTAAACTGTAAGAGGATCTGAATGGAATTAAATACTGTTTGAGATATTCAGGAGAACTGAGATGAATTTAAAGATAAATAATAACCAGTGAAGTTGACGTAGGGAGGACAGAGTGAGCAGGACAGTTGGTGGAACATCATACAGTGGTGAGTTCTGAAGGGACAGCGGAGACTGCGGAGACTGTTCTAGCTTGAGTGGTTGGAGGATAGAAGTTGTAGTATTTTGATAAATGATATCACAGTAATCTAAAATAGGAAGAATTTGTTGTGAGATTATCTTTTTCCTAACAGAAAAGCTAAAACAAATGATGGACTGATAAAGTCATTTTAGGCAGTATGAAATTTTGTTTGTAATAGATTGTATGTGGGCGCTGAATGAGAGAGAGCAGTCAAGCCATAAACCAAGATATTTAAACTTATAACATCTCCATGGTGACAGACCCATCACCAGAAAAGTTACTTGTGCACCTTTAATTTTGCTATTTATATGCAGATATTATGAAGTAATCACAGTTCCACAGTTCTATATTTCTCTCAAACCCTCTGAACTCATTACGGTACCTGTTGTATTCTTGTATTGTTGTATTATTGTACGTTTTGTGTTGTTGCATTGTTGTATTATGTACCTGTTGTGTTGTTGTCTTGTTGTATTATTGTACCTGTTGTGTTGTACCTCAGAGTGTAACCTGAGTCTGCAGCACAGATGTGGAGACGGAAGATGTGTTTCGAAAGACTGGATCTGTGACGGAGACTTCGACTGTGCTGACAAGAGCGACGAGCACAACTGCTGTGAGTACTACTACTACAGTACTCATACTACTAATACAACTACTTCTGCTACTACCACTAATACTACAGTACTCAAGAGAGATGAGCACAACTGCTATGAGTACCAGGACTAAACTAGGAATAAACCAGATCTAAACCAGGACTCGGACTTTAGTTTTGATTCTAAAGGTCATAGTTTGTGACTCATTTGTTTCACAAGTTCACAGTTTTAAGCATGAATCTGCCTCCTCCCGCTGGGCCCCATCTGATCACACAAACATACACTCAGTACACTGCTATGTTGACACACTATGTAACTTTTCTGTCGGGCTGTCTGGCCTGCTTGTCTCCATAGAGATGTAAAGCACTTTGAGGGCCTTGAAGATGGAAAAGCGCTGTATTATTTATTTATTTATTTATTTATTTATTGGATCCCCATTAGTCTTTACTGGAGTAAAGACTATTCTTCCTGGGGTGCAAGTTCACATAATTTATAATAAAATGTTACATTATAATAACAAAAAGTTCACACATAAGTACATACAGTCCTATTCCATAGTATACTGCACTACACAACACTACTACAATTATAATATATCCAATAAATTACAATGCATGACTAAATATAATTATGTACAATTTCCAATATATTTCTTTAACATTTTCTTAAAACTTGGTTCATACTTGTGAACAGTTAAGGTTTGGGGGAGCCTGTTCCAAAGCAATATCGCTCTGTACAGAACAGATCTTTTCAGAGTATTAGTCCTGGGCAGTGGAACTATAAAATGTTCATGTGATAAAACCATACCGACCACTAAAGGGCAGTAGTTGTGCAAACAGGCTCAACGTCTTTGTAAAATACATACATTTTTAAAAAACAAAATAAGGCTACAGGTAAGTCTGGCCTCAACAGTAAAGCAAGATAACCTTTCATGCACGACGCTCACGCTGGTCCTAAAAGGGCAACGCAGAGCCAGACGAGCCGCCCTGTTCTTGATTAGTTGAAGTTTGACAAGATCATTTTTTGAGGCACTTGACCAGATTACAGAGCAGTAGACCAGAGACTGAATAACAATCTTAATATTTGAAAAGGGTAAAAAATATGCACAGCGTCTTATATTTGAGATGGCTGAACACATTTTAGCAACAGTGTTTTTAATATGAGCAGCCCATGATGAAGTGGAGTCAATTTTAACACTCAATAATTCGGCCTCTTTCACCTGCTCTGCTATAAGCACTATATATGTAGTTATTAAAATTATTGAATATATGTTTTGTTGTGATATTTTGAATGTCTTCTGCATTTGTCTAGCGTGTAAGAGCCAGGGCCTGCTGGAGTGTCGTAACGGTCAGTGCATCCCGTCAGCGTTTCGCTGCGACGGAGAAAACGACTGTAAAGACGGGAGTGACGAGGAGCAGTGCAACCGCGAGCAGAGTGAGACTTCGCTTTGATTTCATTTTTGAAGCCTGTCTCCACTTCTTGCCAGTGATTTAACATGTTCAATACCTTCAGTGCGAAGTAGAGTGTTATTGCTATTATGATTTTCACAAAAATGTCGAGCCATTGGGTAGTCCTAATTCTTTAATCTGATTACGTATTTGTGCTTGGTCAAGTGATAGATTAATCACACTTTTGGAATATGATCATGATTCATCACATTGCAAACTGATTTTAATGTTGGAATTGAAACTTTCTATTTTGAAGCACGGAACATTTTCTTATTTAATTATTCCACAAATCTTAATTAGTTACTTTAAAGTTCAACTGGCTATAATTTCAAAGTGCACTGTGTAACTTTTCTGGTGGAGGGTCAGCTGCTTGTTTCTGTGGATATTTTATTGCTCTGTCTGGAATGTTCCACAGTGTGACATTAAACAGCTCTACATTTATTCAATTATATGTAATTTAACTCAAAATATGTGGCTTATATGTGATTTAGCTCAAAAATACCAAGAAAAATCAGGCATTCTGACTGTGAGTGCCTCTCCACAAATTTGACCTGTAACTTGGTCTGGTTTGGTCTCTATGAAGATAGAAAGATTTAATGCCATACTGTGAAACATTCCTGACAAAGCAATAACATCTCCATGGAGAAAAGTATTTGACTGACCCTCCACCAGAAAATTTACACAACGCAACTTTTCCAATCTTATCTAATCCAACTTTATTTGTATTGCACATTTTATAATTTTATAAGACCATTTCCAAAGTGCCTCACATAGAAGTGTAAAACATTTATCTCTAAAAAGTCAACAGAATTATGTTCCAAACAAAATGAACTAATAGAATCAATAGATAAAAGAATAATAATAATAAAATTAATGAACAAAAATAATAAAATAAATAAATAAAGGCAGTACTAAGAAAATAAAATCGATAAAAACAATGAATAAATAAAAAATTAAATAAATAAAAGACAGAGGATCACACAACTTAAAACACTCCAATGTGGGGGCTGTTCAGACATGGGGGCGCAGAGCATTCCAAAGCTTAGGAAGAGGAGAAGAGAAGGCCCTGTCCCCCCTGGTTTTAAGTGTCATCCATGTAAGTCTAGACATTTCATACTGAATTAGTTTGAGTACATGTTTCAGGTTAATATACATCACCAAGCAACAGGTTTAGTAGGGTTAAAAGCCCTTCATTGCCACTTGCAGGTGTAACTGGCTCTTATAGTGACAGACGAGTTGATATATTGCACGTGCCCTGTAGTTGTGTATGCGTTGATGTTGCTCATGTTTGCGTGCTCTGTTTCAGCCCCGGCGATGTCATGTCCTCCCGGTCAGTCCGGCTGTAGCCCCATCCCCTGCTCCTCGTGCGGCGCTAACGAGTCATGTGACCACCACCTCAACGCCACACTCCACCACAACCAAACCAATCGCCATAGCAACAACTGCTGTGAGTACAAGTGTTTGTTACTACAGCTGTGTAATTAATCACATTTGAACTGAAAAAGAGATTCAGTCATGACAAACAGAAGTCAGACTTTACATTTTTGTGATATAATGTTCTTTCCTCATTGTAAAAATTCCTGGGGATGTGTTTTGTTTCATTCATACATGTTTAATACACAAATCCTGCATATTTAGTTGTTTCAAGTGGAAAACACTGCTTGATGACATCACAGGGTGAAACAAAGTGTTTTGAGCTTTGGAGATGTAGACTAATAACAAAGGATTACTCAAACATGTGTGAATGAAACAAAACACAGCTCTGGGTTTTTGTTTTTATTAAGACAAAATTAAATCTGATAAAAATCTTGATAATTTTCACATTGACAAAATTAAGTTTAAAATTTTGCAAATATTTACTCTGGTCTTTTCTTTCCATGTTTCCCCTTTTCTCTCTTTCTCTGTCTCTCTCTATTCTCTCTCTTTCCTCTTTCCTCTCTCCCCCTTCCTCTCTTCCAGCCCAGTGTGAGCCCATATCTCTGGAGCTGTGCCTGAACTTGCCGTATAATTTCACCATATTTCCAAACTTCCTGGGTCACCATTCCCAGCGTGAGTCTGCAGTTTCTTGGGAGGCGTCTCTATTTCCGGCTCTGGTTCAGACCGGCTGTTTCCCCTTCCTCATGTTCTACGCCTGCAGCCTCCTCGTGCCCAAGTGTGACCCCACCACAGCCCAGAGAGTCCCCCCCTGCAGGTGAGGGCGGGTACTCAACATGCTAAGGTTGCCCTGACCAAGACTAGCTCAAGTAACTGGAGATGGGTCCCCAGGCAGCATCTGTCTGTATTTTTTATACCAGTATCTAATTTTCTCTCATTTCAGATTAACAGAGTTTAGTGCTTTGTTCATTAGTTCTGCAGAAATCTAGAGTGCTTTTCAGCTTCCTGTGATATTTTATTTGAATAGAGTTTTTTTTTCTGATGCGCATTCCTGATTGGCTAATCCCCCTGCCAGTCACGCCCATTTGAAAATGGGAGTTTCACCAGTAATCAGACTCACATCTTTGCATTGAACAAGTGTGTATTCTGGATCCCAGGCAAAAGACAGTACTGAAGGATGGGCCAAAAACAAAGGATAAATTGGGATACATTTTTTAAGGGATCAATAAAGTGTACCTTAACAACTATTCATAAATCCACAATGTTTTGATTTTGTTTTGGCCTCTCTTTTCCACAACAGCTCTGTGAGCTCTGTGTTCACTGAGTCTGAACTCCAGTCTGCCACACAGTGGGTCTGATGATGGGCTGTATCTCTGCAGGTCTCTGTGTCGTGGAGCCAAGGATCGCTGTGAGTCTGTTCTGGGGATCGTGGGTCTGCAGTGGCCCGAGGATTCTGACTGCTCCCAGTTTCCTGAAGAGGACGAAGGCACCCCTTGTCTGCTGCCAGAGGACGGCACTGATGGTAAGACACATTATTATTCTGTTAGAATAAACTCCTGGTTTAGACCTGGTTTATTTATTCTATTCTGTGTCATTGCAGAGTGCTCTCCCAGTCACTTCAAATGTCGCTCAGGACGCTGTGTTCTGGCCACGAAACGCTGTGATGGACATTTAGATTGTGACGACCAGAGCGACGAGGATCACTGTGGTTAGATTTGGTTTAGTCCTGGTTTAATCGAGGTTTAGAATTGGTCTACTCCTGGTTTGATATTTGTTAAGATCTGGTTCAGATCTTAAACAAACTCTGTTTGTTCAAATGTCTTTTCCTTCCTATGTCCTGGCCACACCTCTCTGCCCTGACCCCACCCCCTTCTCTCTGGCCCAGCCCCTTTGGTCTGACTCCGCCCCTCTGGTTGCAGGTTGCTCTGAGCGAGCTCTGTGGGAGTGCCCGGGCAGCTCCGTCTGTATAAAACCCTCCATGATCTGTGATGGTATCCCAGACTGCCCCCTACAGCTCGACGAGACCAACTGCAGTGAGTCATTCAAGTCAAATAAAGGCTTCATTAAGGCTAATGAAGGAGCAATCATTATAGTGTTATAGTATAGTGTTACCGTGGTAATTACTCATATAAATGTTTGTCTTATCTCTTCAGCTGTGTGCAGTGATAACGAGCTCTCCTGTAACAATCATGAGTGTGTCCATCGAACCCTGTGGTGTGACGGCAAACAGCACTGCTCTGACAGCTCAGATGAATGGGACTGTGGTGAGGCCTGATTTATATATAACAATATTCACATATACTGTATATATATGTGTGTGTGTGTGTGTGTGTGTGTATGGATGGATGGATGGCTAGCTGGATGGATTCCCTCGGAGCAAGTTACATCACAAGTGGTGGCGGTTTAGTCCTTGTTTAGTTCAGTTTTAGTCCTTCTTTAATCCTGCTTCAGTCCTGCCTTAGTCCTGGTCAAACTCTCTCTCTGGTCCTAGTTTCTCTGGAGGACCGGTCTGGTCCGGTTCTTACGGTGCTTCGGTCTGGAGCAGAGTACCAGGTCTGTGCAGATGAGTGGAGCCAGGACCTGAGTGAGCTCACCTGTCGACAGCTCGGGCTAGGGTAAGGTCAGTAACACAACACACTGCTGCAAAGAAGTAGTAGTACTAGTAACAGTATATGGTACTAGAATTAATTTGGTAGTAGTAGTGATAGTAGCAGTGGAAACAGATTTGACTATTTACATTTTAAACACTGAAATGAGACAATAGAGCCCAAAATTGACCACCTACTCCACTGTTCCAGAAGGAAATTTCTCATAAATTTTTCTTTCAAAAAAATAAATACATAAATACAGTTTGAAAGCTTAAGAGTTAATCAGCTATACAGTAACTAATGACAACTAATAACCTACAGTATTATTTAAAATGTGTTAATAAAGCTTTTAATTGAATCTTGAGTTTCAAATGTTCGTTTTGAACTTAAAACAACCGCATTATGGATATTAGTTAGCACATGGTTAGCCTCCACGATGCCTATGAACTCTTATATATTATGTGAATTTTTTTGAAAAGTCTATGGGAAGTATGAATGGAAAATTTGACTTCCAGAAGTGGAGCAGGTGGTCAAAGTTGAGCTCCATAGCAGAACCCTGAAAAACTGTAGTTTAACAGGAATCATTTGAATACTGATTCAGGTTTTTGAATGCACTGATAAATAATAGAAAGTATTTTTTTAGTACAGAGATATTAGTGGTGAAATTGTCTGGCACTGCACCGCCCCCTGCTGTCAGCTGACCTTATAGAACCTCTCCTCAGAGCCCCCTCCTCAGTGACGGAAGTCCCAGACCAGGCAGGTGTCCAGGGCCGTCGCCGTTGGTTACATGTTCATCCAGAGTTCAGCCAAAGAAACTTCACAGCTCTGCAGGGAAGGCTGGAAAAGAGGAGGTGAGAATCCAAACAAACTTTTGTTTATAAAGCGCTTTTCATTAGGCCTGTCACAATAATTACTATATCGAGATTTGAGCTGTGGAGGTTTGAATAAATAACTTCTCATTATACATACAACTACTTAAATGTGCATTGTGTAACTTTTTCAATTGGTTTGACCTGTAACTTTTTCTAGTTTGGCCTCTATGAAGATTGAAAGGTTTAATACTATACTGTGAAATATTTCAGACAAGCAATAACATCTCCATGGAGAAAAGCATATGACGGACCCTCCACCAGAAAATTTACACAATGCACCTTTAAAAGTTCTATTCTACTCTGTTTATATTGCAACTATTTATTGTACATTTAGAATATTTTTGGGGAAGATTCTGCTTTAGGGTTATTGTGTGTACATATTTAACTGTGTGTTTTTAGAAATAAAACTGCTTAAATACAATCAAAACTCTGGAATTTTACTGTACAAAATAATTCAATAACCTTTTCTTAACCTTTAGTGCAATTGGTTAAAAGTCAGAGAATAAAGACTTGAGTATAAAGGGTTATCTTATTGTGAATATTTAGTAGAATAAGTAGAATTTGATATTAATACTTTGCTGCAGTACAGTGATTTGGGCAAAATGTGAAGGCAGAAAGTGGCATCCTTGCCTTGTGCCCTTGGTAATTACAAATATTGCTGAACTGATCTTGCAAACCTGGATCTTTAACTTTAACATTGCAGACATGTATCTTATAAATTTAAATCTTATTGTCATGGCAGCCCTGGTTTAGTTCTGGATAAGTCCTGGTTTAGGCTGGAGTTAGTCCCTTTGGCTTTGACCTGTTCTCTTTTCTCTCAGTCACGCCTGTCACTCCCGGAGGAGAGTTTCTGTGCTGTGCTCCAGAGAAGGTAACTACCGTATTTTCCGCACTCATAAGCCTCCAACCCCATCAAAAAATGACAATCCAGAGCTCCCTATACACAAATCCACTCGGGTGTCCCAGCACAACTTCAGTAAACTACAAAGCCGCACCACCCGCAGAACACACACACACACACGGAGCAGACAGCGACCGCATGGCGAAAAACACCCGCAGACACACACATCACTCCACGCCGACGAGGAACGGAATTGAGGAACGAACCGAAAAAGTCCCAGACAGCATCCTCCCTACGCGTCACGAAAGCCAAGAGTCACCTTGAACGCTTCTAACAAAGTCCGACTGACCCATCTAACTGTTGTGTTTTGTTTAATGCACCTTATAGTCCAGTGCGGTTTATTTGTAAACAAAGGTCAAAAATAGACCATTCAGTGACAGTGCGCTTTATAATCCAGAGCACCCTATAGTGCAGAAAATATGGTACTCATGACTGATCATTTAATTTTGTACATTTGCTTTGTTTATTATTTGTTGTGATTTTTTCTTAATGAATTTGATCCATGTACATTTTCTTAAACTTACTACTATCTTACTTTATCATATTTATATTTATTATTTTTACAAATAATAATCTTTAATCACTTATTTTCAAGACTCCATGTTGCCAATCAGTATGCCCCACTTCCACCTCCTGTTCTCAGTTTTATTTTCTTCACTGGTCTTGGTTGTGATGACACGGGGCATCGCAGTTTTTTCTCATGCGGAAGTTGATGAACTTGTTTCTTTTATTTAAGTTGTTTTAGACTAATATTGCAATTAAAAATGTCCAAATTATAGTATAGTGATCCACAGGTGTCATAGATTATAACTATAATCGCAGACACAAGCACAAGAGGTCTTTAATCATTTCAACATTCAAAAATAAATTCCTTTCTGCCTTGCCTTTAGATTGTGGGCGTCGTCCTGCAGTGGGTGGAGCCTCAACACGTCACCGACATAAGAGGATTGTGGGAGATGGAGTTTCCTCTCACAGACATAACAGCTCTCACCACAGACAGAAGAGGATGGAAACCCACAGACGCAGCAGCGGTACTGAGGCAGCACTACCTCGGGGGATTGTGGGAGCAGTAGTCCACAGACAGAAGCGTATCCTGGGGGGGCGTGTCTCTCGTGTGGGGGCGTGGCCTTGGCAGTGCTCCCTGCAGAGCGGAGGGAGCGGACATGTCTGTGGGTGTGTCCTGATCGGGAGAAGGTGGGCCCTGACTGTGGCGCACTGCTTTGAAGGGTTAGTATCTACACATGACAACCTGATTTAATGCCGTACTCTGTAACTTGTCTGGTGGTTAACTGCTTGTCTCCATGGAGATGTCATTGTGCCATCTGAAATGTTCAAAAATATACCTTGAGTTGAGAGGGAGTTGAGTTGTTTTGTTTTATTCACACATGTTTAACACCAAAATATTTAGGCTGAGTTCTTCTCGTAAACAGAAAACACTCAACCTAAGTTCCACCTTGTGATGTCATGTTTGTATCATACAGGAAGAACTTTGCTGTGTTTTTAAATTCCATACACCATCACTCGAATCATGTAGATAATGTCAGACCTGGAATTGCCGAGTTAAAGGTATAACTGTTGTGTGAATACTACCCCTGTATGATATCACAAGGTGGAACAGAGCATTTTGAGCTTTGGAGATGAAGCCAGACTAATAATAATGGATTAGTCAAACAAGTGAATGAAACAAAACTCCAGGTATGTTTTTGAGGAGGTAACAACATTATAGCATGGCTAAAAGCTCACAGGAGTCAATTTTGTGTAATATATGACCTTTAATACCCTATAACAGTATAATACCCCCTCTTTAATAATAATAAATATAGTAGAAAACTGTAACATTTTATGTTTTTGTTCCCTGCATGTCAGACGGGAGAGTGCAGAGCTGTGGAAGGTGGTGCTGGGGCTGAATAATCTGGACCATCCCGGGATCCTGAGCCAGACTAGGGGAGTCCGGACCATCGTAGTCCACCCGAGGTACAACAGAGCTGTGGTGGACTATGACATCAGCGTGGTGCAGCTGGAGACCGAGGTAAGACCAGGACTGAACCAGGACTAAACATGGACTGAACCAGGACTGAACATGGATTGAACTAGAACTAAACTAGGCTGCTGTTTTGAACATAAATGCAGAACATACTGTGGAATGTTCAGAACCATGGAGACAAAATGCACGTTTTACCAAACACTGACAAAAATAATATTATCAAATTATTGATTATTAAAATAATGTAATAATTTACCAAACACTGACAAAAATAATATCATTAAATTATTAATTATCAAAATCATCTGAAAAATTGCTAAATGGATTTCCTGGAGCTTATAATCAATATGAGCATTTATGGTCCTGTTTAGGAGTTTAATTTTCAACAAAAAGGTGAGAGCGACTAAATGAAAAACTGTCAGCTAATGCTATCTAGCTTTTGGCTATACTTTTATGTTTGAGACACTTGTCTAACAGCACAAATCAGCTCAACTGTTGGACTTCCAGCTCCTGTCAGTTCTTTATGATCAGCCCAACAGAGCTTCAGACAAAGTATCTAGAGCGTTCGACAAAGTAGTGCCTTCAGTCATGATAAGTCAGATGATACAAAAAAACATCTTCACAGTCAAACAGGTCACAGGCCCTCTACCAGAAAAGTTACACAATGCACCTTTAAAATGAATACATACCCCAAGGAGCATATATTTAGTTTGGTTTCATGTTTCAGTTCTAAACCAGGGCTTATCTTGGGCTTGCATCTCCATAAACCTGACTTTTATTTGGCCTGAAGAGATCCTCCTGCTGCACCTCCAATGGAAATATTCCTTTTGTTATAATATTGAACAGCATGGCATAAAATGGGCCTATGTCCATGGAGAAAGTTCTGAAGTATCGCTTTAATTTTCTTCTCCGTAGAATCATGCAGAAAGTTGCACAGTGTTATAATAATAATAAACCCCATAAAATCAAGATAAGTCCAGGACTATGATAGAACTTTCTTAGAATAAACCATTGTTAAGCGTGTTCTCCCAAAAATTTCAACTGGAATCGATCGATTAAAAGCAAAAAGAATTTATTCCCTATTCAATACAATTCTAATACAGAGCTCTGGGTCAGATCACTACCACTGACTGCCTACGGCTACACAGGTCTTAAATCAGGCAAATCTGACTGCCTCTGAATACCTCAACCCAGATTTTATAAACATCCATATGAATATGCAAATAATATGTTGAACAGGTAACGCCTTGAAACTTCCTTGGAGTTTCTCTGCATTCCTTCCAGGGTGGGGGGATGACAGCAGCCAAATGTAAATCACAGCCAGTTTGTTTAGATTCGCACCAGGCCGAACCATCTCCACTGCTGCTGCTCTGCAATGAATTTCCTTAAAAGGACACAATCTATATCTGCAAAAGATTACCTTAAAAGCATACCTGTTTCACATAGTGGTACCTTTAAACATACATAAGATTTCAGTGGTTAAACATTAACACAATGTATAATAATCAAACAAATATATAAATTCAATGTTTAATATGCACATGTGATGCACTCAAGAAACTTCACCACTTGGTTCAGCCTTCACCATATTAAGCCAGAACTTCATGAAAACTTCAGTTATTGTGTTGAATGTTTCCAGGTAGAGGAGACTGCGTTCGTCCGACCTGTGTGCTTGCCTGCGATTGGCCAGCTCCCATCACCTGATTCATACTGTTACATAACGGGATGGGGTCACATGGGCAACCGCAGTAAGTTTGTGTTATCTTAATTGCATGTTATGTAATATTATTTATATTGTTTTAGTATATTGTCTGTCATATAACAATAAAATAATATTATAAAACGTAACCAGAACAGATTAATGTGTTTCAGAAGTGGTTGGTAGTTAACTTTAGTACTATTGTTTATAATAATGTTTTACCCAAGACAGTTACTCCAGATATGTTTCTCATTGTCACTGTCATGGTGTGAATTAGGCTCTATTCATGCTTTTGGAAACAAGCGACGACAATTTCTGGTTTAGTTACCGACCTGGGCTCGTCTACCCACTGTGATAAAACGATTCAGGGTTCCCATGCTCCTGGAAATCCTGGAAAAATCATGGAAATTGAAAATGTCATTTGTCATGGAATTTTAGTATCTCTTTCATGCCACTACAGCTTTCTGTTAAGTTATCATTAGGATATTATGATTATTTCCGAACGTCTGCACCTTTTGTTTAAAAGAGACGGCAATAAATGCACTGACAGGATTCTGAAGGTTTTAAAACTATAATCCCAAACCATAAGGTGAGTGGGAAGGGTTAACATTTTATTTTTTATTTAGCCATAAAAGTATGATGAATTCTACACATGCAAGTGCTGTAAAGTCATGGAAAATTCACTTTAGGTCATAAAAAAGTCATGTAAAAGTTTTGAAATTTTGTCAGTGAAAAAGAGTGGGAACCCTGCTCATTGAAGTAAATGTGATCAGCAGTAAAATGAAGACTGCATATGTATGTGCCATTTGGAATCTTGAATTTGGCACCTCATCTCTTCTGTAGTCCAGTGCGCTCGGAGATATGTGTCAATGGGGAAATGATGAAAATTGAGGTATGGTTGGAATTGTTGATTAGCCGATCATAACAGAACACTACAATGACACGGAGATGAAGAAAACTGGGACATTTTCAAATTTTTCCTAGATATTGTCAGACTTACTACCGTGAAGTTATCATCGCATGTTTCCAAACGTCTTCCTGGTTTGTGACGTAAGCGTGAATAGAGCCTATAGAAGTAAAAAAAAAAAAAAAAATCTGTTCTTTTGTGCTGCAGTGCCTTTTAAGCTCCAGGAGGGGGCAGTGCGCATCATCTCTATGTCCCAGTGTCAGTCCTATTTCGACTCAAAAACTATCACTCCCAGAATGCTTTGTGCTGGATATGATGCAGGCACAGTGGATTCCTGTATGGTAAGAACTAAACCAGCTTTAAACTAAACTAGGAGTAAACCATGGCCCTTAAACATTTCCATACATTTCTGCAGTTTTGAACACAACTACAGAACAAAACGTCTACATTATAGTTTAAAGAAAACTAAAGCAGCACTTTTCTTGTAAGAACAGTGTTATATTTTTCTCACAGGGAGACAGTGGTGGTCCTCTGGTGTGTGAGGACCCCTCCGGCCGCTGGACCCTGTTCGGACTCACCTCTTGGGGCTCCGTCTGTTTCAGTAAAGTCCTGGGTCCTGGAGTCTACAGCAACGTCACCCACTTCACCCAGTGGATACAACGACAAATCTACATACACACATTCATAAAGGACTAGACCAGGACTAGACCAGGACTGAATCAAGACTGAAACAGGACTGAGCCAGGAATGAACCAGGACTTTATCAAGACTGAGCCAGGACTAAACTAAGACTGAACCAGAATTGTACCAAGAGTGAGTCAGGACCTAATCAGGACTAAACTGGGACTGGACCAGGACAGAAACAGGACTAAACCAGGACTAAACCAGGACTAAACCAGGACTAAACCAGGACTAAACCAGGACTAAACCAGGACTAAACCAGGATTAAACCAGGATTAAACCAGGACTAAACCAGGACTAAACCAGGACTAAACCAGGACTAAACCAGGACTAAACCAGGATTAAACCAGGACTAAACCAGGACTGAACCAGGACTAAACCAGGATTAAACCAGGACTAAACCAGGACTGAACCAGGACTAAACCAGGACTAAACCAGGATTAAACCAGGACTAAACCAGGACTAAACCAGGACTGAACCAGGACTGAACCAGGACTAAACCAGGACTGAACCAGGACTAAACCAGGACTAAACCAGGATTAAACCAGGACTGAACCAGGACTGAACCAGGACTAAATCAGGACTGAACAAGGACTAAACCAGGATAAAACTGGATCTAAAGATTTCAATTATGTATTTAAATTGCACATGACTGCTGACAACTGGACCAATTTGACACATAAACCAGGTCTAAACTCGGACTAATCCTAAACCTGAAACTTTAAAACAAGGCCTTGCGACTAGGTTCTTTTGTTTAATTTTCCACATCCCATTACTTCGGTTTACTTGTTTAAAAATGTAATGTCATTTTTCCTTGACAGACAATTCAATGCTCCCAGTGTGATTTTGACTCATTTGAATCCATTTTTGGGCCTGGACTTGTTTTGAACTTCCTGTTTTGGTCTTCCTTTTTTGAACGTCCAAACCATAGACATAGAAATAGTAGACACGGAGTTTGAGGCTAATGTAGGGTGACCAGATTTTCAAAATAAAAAACTGGGACATGCCTGGTTTGTGGTGATTGGTAATAATAAAATTGTGAAACGAGTACGTAATTAAGGATAATTATTATGTACTCAGCTCTAATGTGAGTCAGTATAGTCACATTTTCTTTGTGTTTTGGTCATTTTTAAGCAGCTTTTCTGGATTTTACCTAAACAAATGTTTTTGCCTCTCTTTACTGTTGGCAGGGATCAGAAGGGTCAAAAATAAGGATACCTGGGACATTTCTTGTATAAATGTGGGACAAATCACTGGTTTTGGGCTCAAAACTGGGACTGTCCTGGGTAAATTGGGATGTCTATTCTGACTCACATTAGTGCCGGTGTGGTATAGGATTTTGACCCCGCGGTGAGATGACCCCGGGGTCAACATACTATATAGTATGTTGACCCCGTGGTCAGAATCCTATTATGGTATGTTGGACCCCCCTATAGAATATTGACCCCCCCATGAAAATCTATATTTTATTAATAAAGAACTTGAATTCTGTAGAAAAACTTTGAATATGAATACTATATCTGCAAATTAAAACACATTGACATATTTAAAAGTGTTTTTGAAGAACTCAGATGCATTTTTTTTGTCGATTATAATATTTGAATGTTAAAAATGACTTACTTGTTTAAACACATATTTTACTGAAAATGAGATAAGTAGTTATTAATGAGTTAGATATCAAAGAGATGTATAATGATTTGGAATCTTGTTAAAATAGACAGGGCTGATCAATTGAGTAGTTAAATAGGGGAAAGTTATGGCTGTAGTAATCTGACCCCCAATATGTTTATTATAGTTCTGATGATGTAAAGTAAGAAGAAATGTTAGCTGAATATTGACAATGATCTGTTATATATAAAAAAGGTCAAAATCCCATGGCTATAATAATCTGACCCCCCAATGTTTATTATAACACAACATGACTAAATTCAACATCATTATCTTTACAAATCATTGCCTAAATTGACATTATGATTAAGAATTATCTGAACATAACAAACTAAAAACCATAACAACGTAAAATACAATATAAAAGTGACAAGATTGCTGTGTATATGCAATTTTAACAATATGTTACATTTACACAAAATACCAAGTCGTTCTCCATCAAAACATTTCTTAAACTACCTTAAAAGTTCATGAATATGTAGCAATATATAATAAAAGTAAATGACATGAGAAATAATGATCATATAAGTAACTACTAAAGAAAAAAGTAAGGGGAGTCATAATCCTATGGGGAGGTCACTTTACTACAACGGTATGTTGGGTCAATATACTATGGGGGTCAAAATACTATCTCACACCAACTCCGAGTGCATAACAATTCCTCTTAATTACGCACTCTTTTCACAATTTTGTTATTACAAACTACCACAAACCAGTGATGTTGCAGTTTTTTATTTTGCAAATTTGGTCACTCTATACATGTGACTACTTCTACATTCTGTTCGAATCCAGAAGAGCCTGGAACTGGACAACAGAGAAAAACCTCTGTCCAAACTTGAGACAGTCCAACCACAGCTGCTAATTTGTATCACATTTCTCTCAAATTTCTTCTCCAGAATTCTCATCACATTCAGAACTAAATATATAAGTTGATTTACGTGAGATAAAGAGTAGTTTGGTCCTGTATGTTGTTTTTTATCCTCTTTTACAACTGCCATGTTTGCTTTTGACGTAAACTGAGCGTGCTTCTTTCTGACTGGTTCATCTGCCTGTCAATCACGCCCTCTGAAATCAGGGAGACAGGACACAGCTCCAGATCCACTCATCTTTGTGAAGTTTTGTCAGAATTTCATGTCTGTGAATGTTTATGGTCCTAACCATCAGGAACAGGACTAAAACAGGTCAAAGTCTGGGTCCAAAATTTGTAGATTCAAACTTGGATTAAACAAGCTCGAAACCAGAAGCAAACCAAATCACAACCAAAAGTGGGTGCAATATTTAACATTTTCTGATGAAGACTCTGCTACCTGCTTGTCTCAATAGAGATGTTAGTAATTTGCCCAGAATATTCCACTGTAGAGCATTAAAGGGCCCATCTCGTGCAAAATCAACTTTTCAGAGTTTTCTACCTTCTAAGAGTGATGTGTAGGCCTTGGATATGTCGCCGAAGTGGTTTTTAGATTGACTCAGCATTTTTTTTTAACAAATTGCAGTGTATTTCTGCCACCCTCCCACGTGACAACAAACTAAAGCTGCTACAACAATGACACGGCAGATACACCTATGACGCGTTTGACATAGCAGAAAAACGTTTCACACCTGACCCCCTCCCCCACTCCACCGCCTCCACCCTGCATCGTCTGACAATTCCCACATGAACACCTAAACAAAAGCGACAGCATAAGTTCATTGTTCTACACTGCAGTGAACACGATATTAGGGGTGGGCGATATCTCGATATTTTTAATATATCGAGATTTTTTAAAAACTCGATATGAATTCTGACATATCGTATATATCGATATAATGCTCATATTCAATTTTGATTTCGCTTCGCTTGTTTGTCTTCTCTTTTGTCTCTCTCGCGCCCCCGCCTCCCTGATTTAGTTCGCTCGTGTCTCTTTCACTCCTCACTATCGCCGTAAACACCCAAAGTTGCTGCCAGTGAAAAGCTTCAAGCACCACGAACCTTTTCCACTATTTACAGACAAAACCATCAGCAGCACATCCTCATATTCCACTGAGTCGCGTCCTTTAGTCCAAAAGAAGTTGAACCCCATGAGCAGCACGTGGAGTGCGCTGTTTATACAAATTAGTGCTTCTTAAGTTTCGTTTCTGTAAAATGTAAACAAGTCTGCGCAAAGCTGCAAAAAAAATAAAAAAAAATAAAAATTAACACTATAATCTCAAACGGACTGATGTGGCTCTTGAGTCGTTATGCTATATATATTGTAAAGTTTAGTAATGTAAATTCTATTTATGCAGAAGATTTTAATGAATAATCTGCTGCAGTGTAACTTGTACAAAAGTGTTTGGAAACGTTGGGTTTGATCTGCAGTAGACTGTGGGAAACCTCAGAGCTCCTTACTGCTGGATATGAACATGGATCTATTAAAATAAGGAACATCCTGAGCTTCCTCTGCTAAAGGAGCTCATGGTTATGATTATGGTTTTGGTTTGGATAACAGAGTTAATGCAAAGATGAGCTTGTGTTGAGTTGTTTTATTTATGAATGAAACAAAGGAAATATGTTTTATTTCTTTTATTTAACAGTTAAATTATTATTTATGTAATTAGGGTTTTTGTAATCTTAAATATTCCTATATGAACTGCCGACCTCTTACACTTTAATTAAAAAAAAAAGACCTTGTGGAATTTGGCAGATTTGTTTTTGCAGTTTTCCGTTTTAGGGGGTTATTTTTTTCCTGTACACATATCGAGATATATATCATATATCGAGATATAGCAAAATATATCGAGATATATTTTTTGATCCATACACGATATAATAAGTTGATCAACTAGTGTTTATTAATACATTACCAATCAGTAATGTTCAGCTGATGTGGACGCGGTGCTTGAGCTTCGTGCACCTCAAAGTCCTCGTCCGATTCCAGGTCCAACACATGCGGCTGAACGTGCTGTATCACCATGATGTCTTCCTCCTCCCTCCCTGAGATGGGCGGAGGAAGGGCGGCTCACTCGTCGCCTACGTCACGTTTGGAGGGCGGAGCCTGTGCTTTCTCAGGACGGGTGGGGGGAGGAGCAATAGTCGGCCTTTCATAGTTCCTGGTCTGTGACTTTCTCCAAGAAATCAATAAGATTTCAGAACTATTGTGTAATGGATGTTCCAAAACCCAAATTAAGCTTGTATATGTGCAGAAGATACAATGTGAAATGAGTGATTTTGCATGAGATGGGACCTTTAAACATACTGTATTTATCATGCATTTATTTAAAGTGCACTGTGTAACTTTTCAGGTGGAGGGTCCATCACTTTTCACTTTTCTCTATGGAGATATTGCCTGAAATGTTCCACAGTATGGCATTACACTTATTTATCATGTTACACGTCAGATCTGTGTAGAGGCGAGCCCACACACAGTACGAATGGAATTTTTCGGGCAATAAAAAGCCATGTTATTGAGTAAGTGCAACACGGATACGTTTTAATGCCATACCGGGTACATTCCAAACAAAACAATAACACCTTCATGGAGACGAGCAAGCTGCAGAGCCCTCACAAGAATGTTACACAGTGCAGCTTTAAATTACAAATGTTTTATTGCTCAAAAATACTTGGCTCAAAAAAGATCGGACCTATAATCAATCTTGGTGTTGTTACAGGCTTTTCTCCATAGAGATTGAAGATTAAAGCCTTACTGTGGAACATTTTAGGGAAAGCAACAGCATCTCTATGGAGACAATCAGATGGCACCAAAAAAAAATCCATAATTTAGCTTTAACAGTTAACTAAACCAGGACTAAACCTCGACTGGACTTTTTTGCTTAGCTGGACTCCGACTCCCATGATGCTTCACTCTCTAGTGCCTGTGCTGTCTGTGCACATGTTTTGGCGTGAGGTTTTCTGTCAGATTGAATGTTCTTTTTGCTTGTTTTGCAGCGCCGGTCGACCGGGCAGAGTCACTTTCACTTTTACCTTTGGAGACAGTGTTGAATATTCTGCTGCTGCTGCTGTGTTTTTGAGCACATTAAGACGAGTGGCCGTGAACGCGTGTCACGTTTTTGCCTGAAATGTTATGAGCCGGCGAACAGGAGTCACAGTGGGAAACAGTGTAACAAGATGTGGTCCAAAGTGGGCTAAAAGTAGGACTAGAGCTTTGGAAATTTAGAAAAACAACACTGAAAATGACAGTATAGAGGCTTTGCACCGTCACGTGACTCCTATAGCAACGGTACCTACGCCGCCATGACACGTGGCACACTATGTCATTGACTTCAGCAGCATCGGAGAAACATGGGCAGGTTTTGTTGTGTATTTGGTTGTTCTAGATGCTCTGAACTGGATAAAATTATTCGTTTCTTCACTGTTCCTCTGGAAATGACTCATCAGGATCAAACAAGGGAATTATCGGGAAAAAAAAACGGGAATTATGGCCAGAGAACATAAACCGCAAAGAGATTTCCAATGGTACCATCAAGACACACTCACGTCACTTTCATCAAGGTATTTGCTATTTAAATCGTTTTATAGCTTATTTAATGAGAGAAGCACATTTACTGAACTAAAATATAAAAAGAAAACATAAAAACTGTATCTTCCAACGCACATATAAACATGTCACTCATTGTAGGACCCATGTTTTCTTTATTGTCTTGCTTATCCACAACTGTGTCTTCTAGAATGAATCACATTTTGCGAGTGGATCTTTCTAATGTTCGCGAAGATCTTTTCATGGCCGATTCTTTCGAGGTTCGGCTCACAGACTCTTCGACTCGATTTCGTAAACTAGTGCGGGTTTTCCTGGATAAATTAATGACATTTTAGTTCAGTAAATGTGCTTCTTTCATTAAATAAACTATGAAACAATTTAAATAGCAAATACCTTGATGAAACTTCGGGTGTCTTGATGGTAACATAGGAAATCTCTTCTATTTTTGCTAGCTATAATCCGTCTTTTTTTCGATAATTCCTTTGTTTGAGCTCCTGATGAGTCATTTCCAGAGGAACAGTGAAGAAAAGAATCATTTTATCCCTTCCGTCTAGAACAACCAAATACACAACAAAACCTGCCCATGTTTCTCCGATGCTGCTGAAGTCAATGGCATAGTGTGCCTGGTGTCATGGCGGCATAGGTACCTTTGCTATAGGGGTCATGTGACAGTGCAAAGCCTCTATAGGTTACACAGTAGTACTTTAGTATTATCTGTGGACGTTCGCTCCAGTGAGGTTAAAGAGAGGGTATTATACAAATTTATTTTTTTTTGTTTTCTCTCATGTTGTAACTCTGTCTCATTAAAAACATGCCTGAAGTGGTTTTAAATGTCATCCACGCATGTTTAAATAATTTAGCGATCTCTCCTGGGCCTGTTTCAAATCCTCCTTCAGGACAATTCTCCATAAATATACAAAAACATGATATAAAACTGTACATGTGGTGATGATGATGATGATGATGATGATGTGCAGTAGCTTCATTAGCATGCTGATTGTGTTATGATAGTGTTCTAAAGGGGGAGGGGTTAGCATGGAGAGCAGAGAGAGGGAAGACTTAAAGCATAAAAAATAAAAGAGAAAGTATTAATAGGTAGTTTATGGTAACATGGTGATTAAATATGTGATGTGTCAGCAGTTAATACCCCCTCTTTAAGGATTTTAACCACATGAAGTGTTACTTAAAGCCAACTGATTGGCTGTTTTTCTTAAAAGGTTTTTGTTACTTTGTTTTTAAAGAATTGTGATTTTGCTTTTTTTTTTTATGTACTTTTTTTGGTACATTTTTATGTTTTAAGCATTTGTTATAAATTAGTTGAAATATGAAATATATATGTTGACCAAAACATCTTGAATGGTGTCACTTTGGAGCATTAGCGTAGCATTAGCCTCCCCTATGTAAACCACTGGGGCCTGTTAGCTCAGCTGGTAGTGCCTGATATCTGAACTTAAAGGGACAGTCCAGAATTTTGGATATAGGACTTCATTTCCTAGTGAGCCAGAGTGTTGGAGACGTGTGGAGACACTTTTTGAAATATTCCATCCAGTCCTTGTATTTGCAGAGGTCGCTGGTGCTAGGCTAGTGCATGTCAATGGCCATAGTTCTCCTGCCACTAAAAACAGTCTTACCCACTCCACAAAACACCTGAAACAAAACTTTTATTACACCAGACTGTCCATGTAAATGTCTGTGTTGAATAATGTTTGAAATAAAACTAACCTTGCATTGCATGAATCGTCGCATGTTGAGGGACTATTTTCTCATATATCAGTCCGCCACTGCCAAGATTTCTATCAGGAAGTACAACTCACTGCTGCTGCTGCTCAGACTAGGCCTGTCGCAATAACTGCAAAAATGAATCACCGCGGTGCATGTTGGGCCACTGTGATTACCGCACGTGACCAACGTGACCAGACCCAGAGTCCTGCAAGGGTCCATTTTTAGAGACCCGCACCCGTCCAGACATTCCACCCGTTTACATTTCACCTGTTACCGCCCGTGCCTGTGATAACCCAGGACTAACCCAGGACAGCCACAGAGCTCTGCGCCGCACAGAGTTAAGTGCAGCCATTGCCCGATCGCACTTTGCGGACACCTGCTCCGCATGCTCCCGCTAGGGGCTCTCTCTCTTAAGTCTGCGGGTACCTGACTTGGTGCAGGACTCTGACCTGAGCTGCCACAGTGAGAGCTGGAGAGATGCAGCTGCACTTGTTCCAAATCTAAATATTACTTCTCCCACACTATAAATGCTATATCCGCGCAACATCCAAGGCACATGTGCATCTGCAACAACAAGCGCATCATCAGAGAGAGTTTTCAGAGCTGCTGGAAATATTATAACTCTGGGGGATGGGGTGGGGTATCACCGCATGTCACGCTGTTGAGCCGCTATACCACACCAAAGGAGAAATTCCCTAACCGCGACAGCCCTAGCTCAGACATAAATCCTTCAAATGGAAGGTTGGTTTCACTTCTAAAATTATTCTATCAGCACAGACATTCACATGGACAGTCTGGTGTAATAATAGTTTTGTGTGGCAGGAGAACTATGACCATTGACATGCACTAGCCTAGCACCAGCGACCTCTGATAGGAGGATGGACTGGATGGATTATTTCAAAAGTGTCTCCACACGTCTCCAACACTCTGGCTCACTAGGAAATGAGGTCCTATGTCCAAAATTTCACACTGTGTCTTTAAATGAAGATTTTATTTGGACTGAACCAAGACTCAACTCGGACTAGACCTGGACCGAACCAGGACTGTCGCGTATAAACCCTGTGCTCCGAGTCCCGGCGCTGCTTGTACATTCCTTGTGCTGTATTGTAAAGTGAAATGTGTGTGGTTTTTTAAAAGTATTTTTCTACTGCTGTTTGTATGTGACGCTTTGAGGCCGAGCGAATGTCTCTCTGTGTGAGAAGAAATAAACAAATAAATGTGATTACGTGATCTTATGGGTGTCTCATTTCTTATGTAAGAAAACACACACACTTTTAATGAACTTGTTTTTGAATATTGTGTTGTTGTTGTTTTTTTTATCATTAGCCAACCATTTTTTCAGTTAGTTAATTTACTGTCTAATTTACTTTACACTGAAATAATTGTCGTCGCCCTCACTGAACCTGCTACAGTGAGCCTCGTCATTTTGGTATAAACCCACTCTTCCTGATCCTGGTGTTTTTATTTTTCTATTTTATCTGTAAATAAATTCCTATTCCTCGTATGGAACTGGCTGCAAATTTGGCCCTTTAACTGTGAACGTCATTTGATTGGAGCTGGACGCTGTGGGAGACGTCACACTCCTTTAGTCCACGTCTGTGTATACGTATGTGTGTGTTTGTGTGTGTATACGTGTGTGAGCGTGTGTGTTTGTGTGTGTATACGTGTGTGAGTGTGTGTGTTTGTGTGTGCATACGTGTGTGAGTGTGTGTGTATACGTGTGTGAGTGTGTGTGTTTGTGTGTGTATACGTGTGTGAGTGTGTGTGTTTGTGTGTGTATACGTGTGTGAGTGTGTGTGTTTGTGTGTGTATACGTGTGTGTGTCGACAGAAGCACCTGTTCATGTGCGTGGTGGTGATGTATTAAATAGGCGGTTTGGGCGCGGTGCGTTCACTGTCCCGGGGATAAGTGACGTGTTAGCTGCTGGCCTTTATTATTACTGTGTCTAAGCAGTAATAACAATAATTACTGTAATCCTGTAGTACTACTACACACAGCGTGAGTAAGACACTGTCAAATATAAGTAATCTTATTTCAAAATGCTCTTATTATATATAATATTCCTGTAGTACTTGACTGAGAGAGGCGCATGTGTCTGAAGGTAATTTGCAGTTGGGAGTTGAGGAAATAATCACTTCTATGAAATCATTTTAGACAATGACATTATTTATGGGCTGACCTCTGGATGTCCTGTCCCACAGACAGAGACCTGAGCTGTGTCACAGGTCACAGCCCCCTCACTCTTCACTGTTTTATACAAAAGGCTGGATGTCCCTCCCTCTCACAGACGTGATCCACTCTCTCATTTTCACTTTTAAAACCACAGTGTTGTGCGAACAACTCTAGAGCACAGAAGAACTTTACACTAAATGTCCCATTCTCAGTGTTGGGAAGGTGACTTTTAAAATGTATTCCCCTACAAATTACAGATTACATACCTCAAAATGTAGTTTGTAACATAATCCATTAAATTATTTAAAGTGAGTAATGTAATCTGAATACTTTGGATTACTTAATTTGCTGTAGAGAAGCAAAGACTAGGAAATCTTCACATAAGATGTTTTGTCTGTTAAAAGACAATGAAAAGCCCAGACTTTCCTTAACCACATTAAAATATTATTGATAGAAGACGAGGAGACAGGGTCCGCACAGCATCATTTAGTCCTGTTAAATCCTGTTTTAGACCT